TGTAAATAAATAGAAAATAAGAGTGGGATTAAAGAAACGAGATGTTTTAGGCTGTCAACAACTATACAATAATAGCTTGCATTTAAACAATATATATAACTATACAACAATACCTTATATATAGTTGATATTATTGTATAATCGTCTACTTACTGTTCTTTATACGTATTTTGACAATAGTAACCAAACAACTTGGCAATAATTTGGCAATTTAAACTATGTTTATTAGAACTAATAACTCTGTTATTAATTCTAATAAGCATTGTAAAAAATAATTTTTAAAATTACAATAAAAATTGCATTAAGAATATATTTTAATATGACCATCAAAATCTATACTAACAATAATCTAAAAATATATTTCGATAGTTTAAAGCACAAAAGACACGTGCTCACTTTTCCAAACATTTCTACTTCTACAATTTGGCCATAAATATTATTAAGAATAAATAATTAATGACAATAAAATCAAACAAAGATTACAATTTTACTAATCTTCTGAAATAATGGATAACTAATTGAGGAAACTTTGAACTTTTTCTCGAAACTATCTAATAAGGACAAGCTTCGTTAGTGTTTTGTACTATCTATATATAACTTCACTTTATTATTTATCTATTATCTTAGCCACAGGTTATTTTCATTAAATCCGATTTTTATTTGTGAATATTAAATATACTTCTATATGCATAATAAAATTAATTTTTGTTTTGAAAATGGTTATGGAGTTTGTTGTAAACAATCATATACAGTTAAAAAATCATTTTGACTAGAAGATATAGACAGGAAGGATCAATTGATTAATTGTTAAACAGATCAATTTGAAACAAGAATAAATTACAAGTACCGTTCAATAATTATTTAGTAATTATATATCTTATTATTATTGTTTATATATATATATTTAAGTAAGTGTAACTTACATTATTTATTACTTTAGTAAGTATAACTTTATTTTAAAATGTTAGATACTATCTATATTTTTAAATAATTTTTGTTGTTTAATTTAAAGTAACAATTATGAATGAAATACACCGTAAATCAGAGTTTTTAAAACCAGTAAAAACTTATTGTTTAGAGTTTTTTTTATAAAATTATTTATTAATTATATAATTTTTATATAAAACGCTTTGAAATAAAGTTTAACTCCAATTTTAATAAAAACTTATCAAAGATTATCGAGCAGCTAGATAAAATAAGTTTTGAGCATCTAAAGCAAATTTTAATAAACTAAATTACCTAAAACACCAAAGATTTTATTTGAAAAGTCAAAAATGGAAAAAAAAAAAACTTTTCATTTTATAGAAATGTTTTATTAAGTTGCACGAGTTTTTTTGTTACAAGTAGAAAAAATTGATATAAAGTTACAAAACTCATAAATTCACTATCTGGTAACGTGATCAGGGAAGGATAAGGCGTCTAATTGGTGTGTATTGTCAAAGCCAAATGAGGTCCTTTGTTACAACTTTGGGTTAATTAGCGAGAGGCAATTATGGGTTATTTGGGTTAATTGTGAGGCAATTATATAGGTCATTGCTTGGGGTGTCATGCACTATCTATGATTATGTCAACTTTTGTTGCAAATCTTGTGCACTTGTTTACTTATTGTGAGACCAATTTAAGTTTGCCTATTTCATTTTCAGATTTCATTGTCTATGGTTTGGTTGTGTTCATCATTCATATGGTTGATTGCGCTAAGTAGTGATCCTTTGTTTTTCAAATACCCTAATAGTCAAATGCTTGTTCTGGACTTATGCGTTAACTCATTTATTTGTTATGAAATACAATAGTGGTGTAGTATTAGAGCAGGGATGGCCAAATAGCGGCTCGCGAGCCGCATGCGGCTCTCGGAAAATATTATGGCGGCTCGCGAGCCGCATACGGCTTTTTTCCAAATTGTTATATGCTAATATATTTTCATATAATTATTTCCATCATTCTTATTGTCATAAAACTTGCAAAAATGGATAAAGTAAAAGTAAACACTAGTTCGCTTCGCAAAATAAGGAGGAAAAGAAAAATTAAAGACGAAAACAGAATATTTCATAATGATTGGACAGAAAAATATGCATTTATTGAAAGAAACAATTAACCTATATGTTTAATTTGCAATATAGAACTTGCTCATAACAAGACATGCAATGTTAAACGTCATTATGAAACAAAACATAAACAATTTTCTGAAAAATATCCGTTAAGATCAAATTACAGAAAGAATAAAATTGAATTGCTCAAAACGAAAAATAAAAATCAACAACTAAATATTTCATCTTACAGCCAAGAATCAATTAATACAACAAAAGCAAGTTTTGTTATAGCATGGAATATTGCCAGAGGTAAACATCTTTATACCAATGGAGAATTTGTAAAGCAAAACATTTCAGATGTCCTGTCGGTTTTAGATCCTAGTAATAGCAAAATCTAAAGATTAGTATCACAAATTCCTATTTCTCGACATACAACCGAAAGAAGAATATCTGAGATTAGTATTGATGTTGAACAGCAATTACTAAACGATTTAAAAAACTGTGAAGCATTTAGTTTAGCTGTAGATGAATCAACAGGTATTCAAGACAAGCCTCAAATGGCTGTATTCGTTAAATATGTGACTTCAGACCATCTGAAGACGTAATTGTAAAAGAAGAGTTACTAGATTTAGTTGAGTTGAAAGACACAACTCGTGGAGTTGATATCAAGGAAGCCCTTGACAAAGCTCTGCTTAAAGCTAATGTACCTATCAACAAGCTTGTTAGTGTTGCTACAGATGGTCCATCAGCAATGGCTGGAAAACATTTAGGACTTATAGGCTTATTAAAAAGTGACCCTAAGTATCCAGAATTTATCCCGTTCATCGAGAACATTTAGATGCAAAACATTTTAACTTTCCGATTGTTTTTAAATCTGTTTTAAAAATTGTAAATTATATTCGAGCAAATGCAAAAAATCACAGACAGTTTAGAAACTTTATAAATGAATTGGATCTTGCTGATGAGCCAAGTGACGTGTCATTTTTCTGTTCTGTAAGATGGCTTTCAAGTAGTGATGTTGTTTATAAATTTGTAGAACTATTAGAGCCAATTAAATGTTTTTTGATTGAAAAAGAAAAGACATTTGAAATCCTAGACGATATAAATTTTGTGCAAGATCTTTTATTTTTGACTGATATAATGCAACATTTAAAAAGTCTGAATTTGTTTCTTCAGGGAAAAGAAAAAAATATATCTGATCTTGCGCAAACGATATTTAGTTTTCAAAAAAAAAATATTCTTTTTCAGAAAGATCTTAGCTTGAAAAAATTTAATCATTTTCCTCAAATGAAGAAGATGATTACTTCTAATCCTTCAATTCAGTATGATGACGATAAGATTGAATCATACTTGGACAAACTAAAGGATTTACAAAAAGACTTTCAAAAAAGGTTTAAAGATTTGCATGAACTAAAATCTTCTTTAGGATTTATAGTAAATCTTTTTTTAATTAATATTATTAGTAATGGCTGTCCAATTCCTGAAAAAATGCTTGAAGATATATCTCAATTTGAAATGGAACTACTAGATCTCCAAGAAGATCAAAATCTACTTATTCTGCATAAAACAATAACTTTTATGGAATTTTGGAAGATAGTTCCCGAGGTTAAGTATCCTCAACTTAAAAAGATTGCCATAAAATTCATTTCAATTTTTGGTTCAACGTATACATGTGAATCTTTATTCTCTACTATGAAATTTGTCAAATCAAAGTATCGTGCAAATCTAACCATTGAGCATTTGTCTGAGTTACTTAGAACAGCCACTACAAGTTTGAAACCAGATTTTAAGAAACTTACCAGTAAAGTTATGAGTATTAGTTTGATCAAAGTAAAAAATTGATAAAATGATGAAAAAGTTAAAGTAAAATAATCTAATTTTAGTGTTGTTTTTTAATTATTATTTCATTGATATAAGTATTGTTATTATTTTGTTAATTAAAAAAAAGTTTATGATCAGCATGTGCTTGTGCAAAAATCTATCATAAAAAAGATCAGTGTGTTGCGCAGCACCTAATCGTGTGCTGTGCAAAATCAGTGTGATCATGTGATTGTCAAAATTATAGAAATGATTTTTTAGTCTGAAGGGAATTTTATAAAATAAATCAGATATAATAGCATTGTAAACAAAACTTTAAAGGAATAGTTTTTTCTTTAAAAAATTTATTGAGTGTTTTAATACAATTAACTAAATTCAATTGTATACATATTTTACTTAAATCTTTAAAAAATGACTTTTTGTATCCAAGAAATATCTAAATTTCATATTAAAATGATATTGTTGAATAGTAATACAACAATTATTTCCACCCCTTAGGAGCATATGGAATTTTCTAAATAATTTGAATTTTCTAAAAAATTTTCTTTAAAAAATGATTTTAAATAGTGAATTACAAATTGTTGTTTTTATATGAAACCAAGAAAATGGGCTAGTAATAGAAGTTTCTTATTTTTGGGTAGTTTTTTTTTACTTATCTAGTACGAAAGTCTCTTAAAATTCAGATTATCAAAAGAAAGAGTATAAAAGTTTCTTATATAAAAAAACAAACATGAAGTTGTTGCGGCTCTTCGGCTCACGTAAGTATATAAATGCGGCTCTTGTGACAAAACGTCTGGCCAGCGCTGTATTAGAGCCCTCATTTCGTAAGCAAGTTACGAGTTTGATCGCCACATGTCCCTGGTAGTACCGTGCTTAACTTGTTTCTCCGCGCAGTGGCCTTGTTCGTCTTGGTTCTTGTTTTGGAGTTTAAAAGTTGAGAGAGAATTGTAAACATAAATAAAATAAAAAAAGTAGCCTCCTCGACTGTAGTGGCCTCCTCGGTCATGGGTTAGTGAATAACATTAATAAATGTAAGAAAAATCAAATATTACCAAATGTAATCAAATAACAAAGTTGTGACTTTTACATCTCTATTTTTCAAACTGTTTTGTTTGTAAGTTAAAAACTCATGCTTTTAATGAATCATTATCATACTACAAGTACACTGAAAAATATTTTATATTTCCATGGCCACAAAACTTGTGGAAGCAACGCGTACTATTCTGGCTAATCTCCGAGAAAATCGGGTTAAGAATAGTCTTGCTAATGTCACTGCAATCGCAGAGAGCTTGAAGTTCCTTGTGTATTCTCTTCAAAATGACGTCGCTATTTGATGTGTTAATGTTCATTGCGCGAAAAGATTTGAATGAAATCTACTTGAATGTTTCAGTTGCTCTTAGAAAAATACAATAACTCCAGTGTCCGTGGCTACTGCAAAGCGCAGCTTCTCAAAATTAATCAAAACATAATTGTGTTCGACAAAGAGTCAAGAAAGTTTATCAGGTTTGGGGTTTCTGGCTATTGAACGGAAGTTTTCGACCAATTGAACTTTACTTCTATTATAGACAAGTTTGCTTAAAGAAATGTTTGAAAAATTCGTTTTAATTGAAAATTATTTGAAGTAATGAAATAAATTAATAAATAAGAATGAAAAGGTAAAAAAATTTCAGCAATAAAGTTTTTGTAATTTGAATTAATTTTAATTTTCTTAGAGGAACTGTAATAATTGGCTTCAATAGATGTTAAGCGGATGCTGTGCACCCAGGCTTTATCCTACTAGTGTGTTTTGTAAAAAGAAGCTTAAAATTTTTTTGCTCGGGCACGCAATGTTATGGCCAACCCTAAACATTACTAACAGTAATTAACGAATAAGAATGAGTATGAAAAATTTTTTACGAATTCACATTTGTATTGTATGGTTTTTAATAAAAATTTGACAGACTTGACCTGTTCAAAGTGTCAGCTAGAGTATTAAAAGAAAATGGTTAATCAATATCTACCCTGTTTACATTGGTGGATTAAGACTTCTTGGGGCCCGGGGCTATTTTTTTTGGAGGCTTTTCTATTGGCCAAAGCCTGAAAACAACTAAAAAAAAAAATTCTTCAAAAATTTTTGGGGGTCCCTAAATTTGCGGGGCCCGGGGCTATAATCCCTCTAGCCCCCCTTGATCCGGCACTGCCTGTTTACATTATTTTGCTAACTATTTACTATATCATAATAACACAAGGTTTAATTACAAGAGTCTTCTCTCTCTCTTCAAGACTTGCTGTTAAATTCACTTAATATTTCCTGTTTTATTCTTTAACAACTGTTGTGATTTTTTCTTCTGTAATTATTGTTATCCAAAATTTTTTTTTTTTCATTTTTTTATTCAGTGATCAGAAAAAAAAAAAAAAAAAACAATAAATCTACTTAAAGTTTGATGAAAAGATGCTACACCAGGCCCCTCTATGCTGACGAAAATAAAAAACACAGAAGCTACAGACAAAGCAGCAATTGTGTCTCTAAAAGTTATAATCCCAGTGGGCACGGAAGTAAAAAAGACGTCTTTTAAACGTTTAAAATACGTCCAAAACGTTCAAAAGACGTTCAGAAAACGTATAAAACGTGTATAAGACGTTTAAAAGACGTCCTTTTTTACTTCCGTGCCCACTGGGATGCAATACGTAACTTTGTAAGATGTTGCAATATAGGTAATGAGCGCCGTTGTAAAGCATAACCATTAAATTTAGATTAAATTAATTCCTTCTAAATAAAGATTTTTGTAAGAAAAATTAACAATGCTACGATCTTTTTGATGGACTTGTAAATTAGAGCTTTTTAAATTAACGTAACATAAAGGAATTTAGTAGCACATAATGGAATTAAATTTTAGAAATTTTCTATTCTTCAAATATTGAAATCTCTATAAACTTAAAATTTTTGAGGGACTTTCTACAGAAAATGACAAAAAGTTGTAATTTAATGTATAGATTACAAAACATTCACATAAAAGTTCACGAATGTAAATGTTTACAAAAGAACCTCCCATTCTTATCCATCTACAAAACAGAAATTTGGTAAAAAATTTTATGTTAAAAACTTTTTTAAATGTTGATCAACAGCAAAAGATTTATTGTATTCAACAGTTGAAACTGTCTCGAAGACTCACAGTTATATCATTTTTAGCTATTTTGTAGTTTATATTTTAAACAGTAGTCAATACACCCGGTCTTCAGTGCCACAAAATTATTCGGTATTCGAAAGTCTCAACAAGTAAGTGTAAATTATGGAATCTGGAAATTTGTGACAATGTTTATGGACAGACTGCAATAAGTACTGTTTCTCTTTTTCTTTCTTTTGTTAACTGTGAATTGCAATCTTGAATAAGTTTCACTTCTCTATCAGCGGAGTCATAAACAACAGTTGGAGTCTTCACAATTGTTTATGAGGCAACAGTCACTATTTTCTTTCCACTGCTCTGGTGATAACTTCAGAATCACTTAGTTGGAGAACTTTAAACAACTTTTTGTGTTGGAGATTATAAATGCAGTAAGAATTGTGAAGCATTAATAAACTCAAAGTCAAGTCTCGGTGGTGGATGGTCTGATCCAGCTTGTACACGTTGCATGTTTCTGAGCGTCTATTTTCAACTGATATTATAGAATGTTGCTACAGACATCATCATAAAATATTGAGATATAAACAAAACAATTATAGTGACCTGCAATATCAATGGTAGTAATAAAGTAATTGCAGCTACAGTAATACTATCACCTATTTGTCACTAAAACTGTTTCTAGATAGAAAACTCATACTTAATAAAAAAATTATTATTGAGAAACTACCCAGTAAACAAAAGACGCATTCTAGATGTCTAAAATAAATCTAAATAAAAACTATCTTCAAGTCCAAAGATAATTTTAGACAACTATTAGACCTTTAATACACAGGAAAAATTATACGTTGTATTATCATTATTACATTTGATAAAGGGATAAGGCTGTTAAACATCAGCATATTTCAAAATTTTGTTTTTTTAAAAATAGAGAGACTTGAAGACTTTAAGCATTTTTTCGTAAATTAAAAAGTGAATCATTTTGAATGAATGAATTTTAATGAATTACTTTATTACCTAGGTGTTTACTCGCCTACGCGCGACGCAAAAGTATAACTAAAAAAACAGTTAAATATTCTCAAGTCAAATTTAATTACTTCGATCATTTTTCAACTACACGCTTAGAGGTTGTCCATAAAGTACTTACGCTTTTATTACGACCCTCCCCCCATTTTGATACACGCTTTTTCGAGTACCCTTCACCTCCCTAAAAGTACCTACGCTTTTAACCTACCTGCCCAACATTTTTCAATATTTTTTAATTTAGTATCCTCTTACTTTTATAACTGACCCACTCACCTCCCCTCACCCCCCATCTCGCCATTTGCAGACCCCTCTCCCGCATCCGAGCGTACGTACTTTATTGACAATCCCTTCCGACCATAATTAAATGGTACTTAAACTTTAGAACCTTATATTAAAAAAGCGCGCAAAAAACATTTGAAATATTTTATAATCGAAGACCAATAAAGATATCAACGATTAAAAAATAAATTCCAAACAATTTGAAAAAAAAGAACAATGTTACCTTTAACATTATTTATTATCATAATTATATATATAACTATGATAATATTTATAATTTAGCGTGAAATATTTATGAAAAAAAAACTATTTATAAATAAATAAATTATAATTTTTAAATGAACGAATTTTATTCCTTCATTTAAAAAATCAAAAGCATCATCTATTGAAAGGTTTAGCAAAGTAAATTAAAAAAATATTCAAATTTAAAAAAAGATACAAAGCAAAATAGTTATTTGGTAGGTTTTCAGTTTTTTATTTCAATTTCAGAGAGAAAAAAAAAAAAGTTAAAATAGATTAAATTCAAGTGAATTTTATTGGTTTTTATTCAAATACTCTAATTGGCATAAAACTTTAATTTATATAGTAATAAGTTAATAGAAAAGATGTTATGTTATGAAGTTTTAAACATTCCCTAACAGAGAATGTAAAAAGATACGTAATTTTGATTTTTACAAAAGCTTCATTGATTAAGGCTCTGAGACAATAACTTGCATTACAAATCCTTTAGAAATTTTTGTTTCTTCTATTGTAAGTTTATCATATAAAAGTTTACCCGAATAAAAACATCGTTGTTTTGAGGGCGCTACTCCAAAGTCCGCGTGTATTCTACGCTTTATTGCGCCAATAGTTTCCCCTGTGCGTACAGACATCTTCACGTCTTTATTGGTAGTAGATAAACGTATCTTAATAATAATTTCTTCACCAGAAGCTTGTTCAGTGATTATTTCTTTAGAGCTGCCAGAGGTACTCGAATTTTCATCCAAATTTATAATGTTTGTTGGAAGACTTATACAATATATTGGAATTGTGTAATGATTACCTAATTCGTCATATGCATCAGTCAAAGAACCTAAAATATTAAATAACAAGCTTAACATGAATAGAAAAAAAAATACTGCAATTAATAACTGTAATTATCATTATCATTAACTGCAACTATCATTATCATAAAAGATATTTATTTCTAATCCAAAAATAAATCAAAAGTGTTCCTTTAACTCTAAAATTTAAACAGTACTCCATTGATTTAAATTTATTTTAGTTGTACATTATTATAGGCAATAATAAATAGACTTTCATAATAAAAAGGAAACAAGTTGGCGTCGATTATGTCAAACTTGAAAAAAGTAATTTTATTTAAACAAATTCTAATAAAAAAAACCGTTTATTAAATTTAACATAAATTTTGTTCAAAAATTTTCAAAATGATCTAAATTTTATAGAAATTTATTAAAAATACTACAATAATAAAATGTCTTTAATCATAGTTTCTTTTCTTTTCTTCTGCAAAATAAAATCACCTTTTAATCAATTTTAAAACAACGCACTTGCAACCTGTCTTGTAATTTAAAATCAATAGAGAAAATTCTAAAAAAAGTTTCAAAGAAACCAGAGAATCAATTTTCACTCGAAAACTGTTTCTAATTTCTTTGAATTTTCATTGTCATATTTAAATTAAAAATCACACAAGTGAGGAAAAATGGGTGTTAAATTTAAAAAAAAAAACGTAAAGGTAATCAAAAGTTACATTTTTAAGAACGTCGTTAAAAAGTCATTACAGAGATAGTCATTACAAATCTAGATATTTGTAATGACTATCTTTCTACACAAATATCTAGATTTCCAAAGTTTTCTAAAGAAAGACTTTAAAATCGTTTCAATAGGACAAATTTTATTAAAACATATATTAAAAAAACTGTAACTGTAGTACCTTAAAAGTATTATTTGTACCTTAAAAGTACAAATGCTGAAAAATTTGTAGTTCTGATAATAAACATCAAAAATATAATTATTAAAATGTCAAACACTTTATATTTGTACCTTAAAAGTATTATTTGTACCTTAAAAGTTTTACTTGTAAGTAACGAAGCAGAAATATATAGTTTTTAATTTACTAGTTTTTATATATATTTGTCATAACACATTTTATTTTTAATTATTTTTTATATTTTTTATAATTCTACTATTGTATATTCATTTACAAGTATATTATACAAACATCATACTAACATGTTAACATATATATTGTGCTATTATATTAGAATTATTTTATTAATAAAACTATTGTTAATATTTTTTATCATTAATTCTTACTTCCTAATAATCGTTAGTAATTATTTCATTTTAATTAATAACAATTGTTAATTAATTCCACAATTATATTTATATTTAATAGCTTTCCATTTCATAGTTATATGTTTTACAGTTTAATAAGTTATGATAATAACTTATTAAATAGTTTTAAAACAACTTAAAACTATTTAATAAGTAATGGTAACTACACTTAGAAAAGTTGTTAAGAACCGCAAATTATCGTTTATGATAACTTTCCCTCTTGGGTATTTAAAAAATACCCTTCAATCAATATTCTTTTCAATGATTTTTATGAATAGCAGTGTAGTAACTGTATATCAAAGAATATGCTGTTCGATTTGATTTCAAACATTTAACAAATTATTTTTAGAATTTCATTACAACAATACAAAAACTGAGTTTGTTGAGCTTCTATTGATTAAGATTATGATTGGTGAACTGTCAAAATATCTTATATTTGATTGGCAAACTGTCAGAATATGTTTGATTGGTGAACTTTCAGAATATCTCATATTTTCCAAGAACGTTTTATTCTAAAAGCTTAGCAAGATTTTTTATAAAATATATATATTTTTTAAAAACTACAGAATTTAAAAAAACCGCATTGACAAATTGATATTATTTGCCATGAACTAATTTTAAACATATCTCATGCTAATTCACTTCCCTAAAGCCAACAATGCCATTACAAATCAAGGATGCTACTTTAATCCTGGTTACAACCCTCTCTAAACTCTTAATCTCTAAAACACGAATCTGAATGAACAATTGGTGTGTGAAGAAATAATTTGAGTGAAGTACTACCATTGATGTGGTGGGGATCAAACTTGGAACCTCTTGCTTATGAAGCAAGCTACCACTCCACCACTATGGTATTTAAATATATCTATCACTCTCATAATTTCAATATCAAGATATAACAATATCCAAGATAACAACAACATAGCACAAGGTAACTTAAAGGGATCCCCAACTGCCAAGACAAGTTGTGTTCATATTAAAGAAAATGTTAAAAAAAAACATTTGGGCTAAATTTTTTTGATTGAAACTAAATAATGTATGCATACAAACAAATTTAAAATTATTGTTTTAGTCAAAGCTCGCCTTCTCCACTTTTTTTTTTGGTTCTCGGAGTCTGTATAATGTTAGCCGCAATCTGCAGACTTGATAATTTATTCCATGCATGTTTAATTCATAACAGTTTTGGTATATGACATCATTGCAATATCTTTTTAAGATAGCATTTTTTTTTCAAAGATATAAGTATTTTTTACTCTACTACAATAAGAAAATCAAATATTTGTATAATTTATTACTAAATCACAAAAAATATTTGTGATTTATTAAAAAATTATACAAATATATATATATATATATATATATATATATATATATATATATATATATATATATATTTATATATATATATATACATATATATAATTTATTTTAACTTGCTTTATTACTTTGTTTTAAAAGCAAGCCAAAATCATGACACAATTATACATATTTTGTGATTATTAGAGTTCGCAGGCAGAGAAAATATAAAGGCAGTATGATGCGTTTTCTCGTTTTATATTTAGTTCGTATGCTTTAATAGAGTTGTTCTTTTTATGTTTTATATTTTAAAGACCATTATTTTTATGATAAAGATAATAATAAAAAAAACTTTCCGATTCTTAGTTATCTATTTTAAAGCTTTATTTAAAATAACTTTTTTTTTTTAAATGTAAAACATACGCGGAGTGTTGCTACATCGACTATCTTATAGCCTGACTCGCAACGGAGTGCTGCTACATCGACTGACAAATAGGCTGACTCGCAACGAAGTGCTGCTACATCAACTGAGGGTTTGGTTTGGGCAGGCAGTCTATCAAATAATTAAAAAATATTTTTTTTTCATATTGCATTCGTCTAGTTTCACTTTATTTCTTTTCATTTTTTTTTTTAATTATTTTTTCACTTGGAAGTCCTTAAAATATACCGCTAAATTAACTACGATGGTTCGCAAAAAAGTTCTTATTTTACCAGTTCGCAGTTCGCCAGGGTAAGGGTTAGGGTTTCACATTCGCTACCTTCCAGGAATAGCGCAGATCTTGACATTTTGATGAAAAATAAAGAACTTTATATAAATATTTAAAATAAATAAAGAAATAAACATAACTACATATTGATAATTTTCAAGTAAAAAAAAAAAAAAAAATTATTTTGGATTTTTTCCTAGAACCACAATTAACATGATTTGGTGATTGTGGCTAAAAAAATAATAATAATACGACATCTTGAAAGAAAAAATTTATACGATGATGTCATATACCGAAACTGTTATGAATTATACAGGCATGGTATAAATTATCAAGTCTGCAGATTGCAGCTAACATTATACAGACTCTGAGAACCAAAAAAAATGGAAATGACGAGCTTCGACTAAAACGTGAAATATATATTTTAAATTGAATGGTGTGCATTATTATATGTTTTAATCAAAATCATTCATTATAGCTTTAATCAAAAAAATTAAGCCCAAATGTTTTTTTCAACATTTTCTTTAATATGAATACAACATGTGTTCATATTAAACTTGACTCTTGCTACTTTTATCAATTTTTTTTTTCTTAAATTATTTTTTCTTAATTTTTTCTTAAACTAAAGAAATACTAGCTATAAACATGTAGGGTATAAAGGGGTTATTCCACCCCTGGGGTAATTCCAGCCCCCTTAGAGTTTTGGACCAATAAAAAAGAGCTATAAATTAGAAAGATATTCTTTTCCAGTTATACATTGCCAACTTCCTGTTACTCTTAATGCGTATACTTCCTTTGTTCACACTGTTATAGAAACTTTTTTACAAGACTTTTTTTGGAAATCAGAATTTATCTGCAATTTAATTACCATATTTACACTTTTCGAAAAAAAATTAAAATATTTTTACTGATATAGTTCATTTATTATTGCTATATATGTGTTTAATATGTATTTTTATTTTATTGAACAACTGTATTTAGGTTCAGTTAAGTGTTTTATTTGTATAAATGAATTAAAATCAAATTGATAGCTCAGGGGAATTCCAGCCCCCCTCCCCCTCAGATGGTGACACTTAAAAAATGAAAATTTGAACTTTTGCTTATTAATAAACTTGAGCAACATGTTAATTATAAAGCTGATGAATGCATCGCTAGACTTATAGAAGAAAGCCAGGCTAAAGCTAAGCCAAAGCTTCTCACTTTTTTTGCTCAATAAACAGAGCAAAGAGTACACACGTTGACTAAGGGTCTTGGTTCGAGCAAGCACTTTGTTAATTAAAAGAAAACTTTATCAATTTTAAAATGTTATTCTTTTAAACTTATATATTAAAAAAAAACATACCAGAACAGATGTCATAATTCAAGTCAATCGATAAAACAATCAATTTAAATTACAGTAGGCTGAAAATTTAGTTTATCAAAAATATATTAGATTGGAAACTTAGTCGACCAAAATCTCAAAATGTTGAAAAATTTGTAGTTCATGTTTTGACTCGATGTAAATATGAAAATGTAATTGTTGTCAGTTCATCGAAATCAAAATTGTCATAAGCTACGATTTTAGAAAGCTAAAAATAGGTTCAGTCATAGGTCATAAAAGCAAGATCAAATAAAAAAATTTTAGCTTCCTAATTATGCATGAAAACTTATGTAACTTGAAGTTTGTTGATGTAATCTCCAAGTGAGACAAGTGTATTCATATCTTCAATAAACCTTAGAAAATAAGGTTAAACTTACTAAAACTATATTTAAAAAGTATTGTTGCTCAAGTTAAAACTTTTTTGTTTGGGTTTTCCCTATTTTCAAATATGTTAATTATAAGTAAACTTTTTTTAAATAAAACTTTACTGATAACTTGTTAACTTGTTATTTTTTATTAGAATTTTTTTTTAAAGTATTATTTTAGTATATATTTAGAATTATATATACTTTTTTAACCGAAATGTAGCGAAAAAGAGGAAAACATAAGTAAATGTGATAATTGTAATGTGTAATTAATTTGACTATTATGTAAATAAAATGTGTAAATAGCTTAAAAAACCTCTACAATGAATACATCATTCATTAAACAAATCAGATATTTTTATTAAAAAAAAAACAAAAAAACAAAACAGAATTCTAAGCTTAAAAATCACTTAGAAACAGAAATAAGATAGCAAAGTTACAAAAAAGCTGATAAACTTTTTATTAAATTAAATAAAAATAAATGTTATTAATTCTAAACTTATTTTCTAAAGTTTATTTCAGACATGAAAACAATTTGGCACTAGGGGATCCCTTTAACTTTGACCATTTTAATAACAAAAAAAAACAATCATTTGTTCTAAAAATTAAAATAGTTATTATTAAAATCACTGATTATTTTTTATTATTATTAAATTTCTTTAATATTTTGAACCTATTTTATATACCTAATAAACTACCCAATTAAAATGTTATTTGAAATTAAAAAAAAAAATCAAATATGATCAATAAATGACTTTGCATGAATAAATTAACTTGTATAATTTGCATAAATTATCAACTTAGGGTTTTAAAACTTTTTATAACGAAATTGAAATACAAAAAATAAAAACCTGAAGGAAGTGTTATGTTAGCACCATTAACTATGGCTTGCGCCAAAGTGATATCATCTGTCTCACATGCAGCTCTTAGTGCATCATAGATTTCTACTCTTCCACCAAATGCAGGCTGAGTTTCCCAGTACTCATCTCTCTTACTTCTTAGTTGACCTATTGTAATAGGGGTCTCTGATTTCCATTTAGGTTTCTCTGAGCTAATTGGCTTATTTTTTCCAATAGTAACTAAATCAAAAATATTAACTAAATCACCATTTAATATGGCTTTTTAAACCATAATTCACTTCTAGTGAATTAACTTTAAAGAAACACAACTTGATGTTACTTAAAAAACAATTAAAAAAATAATTATAATAATTATTAAAATAATTATTATAATTATGCTTAAATTAAATACAATAAAAACATGTTGATGCAAAAACATAAAGCATGTTTAGAATCGCTAAAAACATGTTTAGAATTACCAACAAAAAAAATTCATTTTGGTCAGAGAAATATATTTATGCACAATTCAAAACTTATCTAGTAAGCAACACCATTATACTGTTGAAAAGATTACTAATAAACAATTTTAATAAAAACATTTTGCAAATAATTTATGTTATTTACAATAATTATATATTGTTATCTTCAATACATTGTTATCTTTATGTTGAGTAATCAAAAAAGTTCTTTCTGAACATTTTTTTTTAATAAAGTAGCAATGAAATATTTTTGACAGACATTAAGACATTTATCTCAAGACAGAAAACAGACATTAGGACATTATTCATCTTAAAACCAAAAACCTTCATTTCAAGACTAATAACATATGGATAAAAAAAAAAAAAAAAAAAAAAAAAGAAAAAAAAAGAAGGGGTAAACTGAGTAAAATAAAAAGTATTTATTATATTTTATATTTTAACCTGATAACTTGCTACACATTAAAAGTTCTATAAATGCCTAAATAACTTTGAAAAGTACTAAATTATTTTAAAATGTTTTAGAAATATTGAATGGTTTCTGGATTAGGCAATGCTACCCTATTGATTGTCCCAGAGTTAAGTCTCTTACCTTTACTTTTTTATCTTAACATATCTTGTATATATCTTGCAACACAACTCTGCAAAGTTAGAAAAAATTGCAACATTTTTACCAATGCTAAAATTCTATTACCCCTCGCTTATGTATGCACCTGAATACTTTTAATGATTCTCCCCCCTCCTTCCCCTTCTGCATACATAGTCATTATTCATTAAAAAGTATTACTGGTTGTTGAATTCTATTATTGCTAGTTTAATGCAACTTTCTTAGACATAAAATATAGAAAATTAAACTCTGAACTTGCTGCATTAAAAAAACTTCTATATATTTTTAAAATATATACACAGCACAATTGCATTTCTTATTAAATTTTTTTTTTTTTTTTAAAACAAGAAATATATTTCTAGTTTTTAGAAATAAATTTCAACTATGGACAATGGATTTAACTTTTTGCTGTGAATATTAAAACAATAAATGCATTTCATGTTTTAAGAAACAAATTTCCTACTAAATGCTTACTTATGTACTATATGCTAATTTATGTACTAAATGCTAATATAATGGAGTAACAACAGTGGGAAACATTTTTTTATATGTACTGTATTAAAATGTGTTTTTTCAGCTAAAATTTTAGGTTACAAATTTAGCATAGATTTGATTTCAAATTTTTAATGCTACTTTTATTAAGAAAAAACTAAATACCTAGTATTAATTATACTTTTCCTATACTTTACCGTTTTCTTTAGTATACTTTACCGTTAAAAAAAAGAATATATATATAAAACAATTAGATTAAAAGTCCTAGTTTAAATTGAAAGTATAATTGTTTAAAAGAAAAAACAGTAAAAAACAGCTAACTTTTAAAAAATACAAATTTTTTTTAGAATATTTATAAATATGTATAAGTACATATAACATTTTTTGAAACAAAACTGTATAAAACAAAAATATTAATATATTTGTAAATATAAAAAAGTAAACTAAAAACAATAAAGTATTTTTAAAAAATTAAAACTTTCGGTATATATATTCAGTATATTTTTCAATCAATCAAAGTATATACACATATACAAATATATAGATATAAGTACACACACAGGTATACACACATACATATTCATTTACATACAGAAATACACTTACGTGTATTTCTATATGTAACTGCATGCACTCACATGAGAAATGTATACATACACATATAGATATACAGTTATACAACTACAATACACAAAAATATATACAACTTTTAAAATGTCCCATCAACATTAAACAAACTAAAAGGTTAAAAAAAAAAAATACAGGACAATACAATCATTGCACAAAAAAAAAAAAGTTAACATGAGCAATACACGACAATACCTATTGAAAACAATACACAAAATAAAATAAGAATACATAAGAATGTCTGAAAACAAAACAAAACAAAAAAAACAACAAACAATACAAACAGCGCACATAATAAAATAAACAACTTTAAAAAAACAGGACGATTCAAACAATACACAAAAATACATGACAGTATAAACAATGTACAAAAACAATTTAAAGAAATGATTTAAAAAATTGTTCTTTTTCGTTCTTTTTTTGCTGTAAAGTAAAATACTTATAAAATAAAAAACTTTATATGATATTTTTGTTAGTGGTATTTTTTTATTGTTTTTAAACTTTTTTAAATTTTATTTTGCATTTTGTTTGTAGTAGTTTTTTGTTTGTTTTTTTTTTCCTTTTTTTTTTTTTTTTTCTTTTTTGTTCTATTATTTATTAATTATTATGAGGAAATATAATTAGTTCATTTTATTTGATGTTTCCTTACTTTATGCATAATAATTTTTTTGTATTTAACCTAGGGGAGGAGTTAACAGGAAAATTGTAATTAGAAGAAAAAATTATGCTTTTAAATGTTTTAAACATGTTAAACACTATTGAAATAAACTTTAAATAACAAGGTATATAAATGGTTGGTTTGGAACAGACCTACCATGACCCTTATTATGGGTTACTGACTTTTAGAATTACTTTTTTATTAGAATAATGATCAAATTACATATTTTTATGATAAAGGTGAACAAAATTGACAATGTTTTGTTGATTTGTAAGTAAATGTGTAAAAGAATTTTTTTTTTTTAAATATGTTATATATAAATATATATATACTATAGTTGAATACATTTTTTTGAAAAAATATATATTATATTTCAAGTTTTCTTAGCTGCTTTTAATTAATAAATTAATAAATTTTAATAAATATAATTTTGAATTATAATTATTTAGTATTGTTTTTCACACTTCATATAAACTTGTATATATTAAAAATGACTAAATGAACAAATAATTTTTCAAGATACATATTAAATATATAATTTTAATAATTAATATCACAATTTTAATAATTAATAATCACAAATAATAAGTTAGGGTAGTATTGTCGACCTCGCTTATTACACTAATGAGGAGATGCGGTTTCAAATCACTATAAATAAATATTTAATGCATATGAACTATTATTTGGGAGGCTGAATAAGTGTGAATTGGCATAAGTGCGAAGAGTTGCAAAAGTTGGCATAAGTGCAAATTGGTATAAGTATGCCAAAAGATTTTGCAAACATTGGCATAAGTGCAAATTGGCATAAGTGCAAACTGGCATAAGTTCAAAACAGTTACAAAAACTGGCCTAAGTGCGAATTGTCATAAGTGCGCCAAACAAATTTGCAAACATTGGTATAAGTGCGAACTGGCATAAGTGCGCCAAATAAATTTGCAAATATGGGCAAAGTGCAAATTGGTATTTTGCATTTATGCCAGTTCACACTTATGCTATTATCTGTAACTGCTTTGCACTAATGCCAGTTCGCACTTATGCCAATGTTTGCAAATTAGTTTGGTGCACTTAAGCCAATTCGCACTTATGCCAGCTTGCACTTATGAAATTCACACTTATTCAGTTGTCCCCTATTATTGTTGTTTAACAATTTTTATATTATTACTTAACTGTCTAATAATTATATTACTATTTTTTCATTTATAGTATAGCCAAAGACTTTAGCTATGGCTATATCCTTGACTGATACAGCCACAGATGCATTGGAGTCTACTTTAATCTAATGACTTAAATTGGAAAAGCTGAGGTGGAGTGTATATTCATCAACTGAGGGATTATGTTTGGCAAGGCACTCTTCTAACCAAAAGAAAGATTTTTTTAAACTTGAAACTAAAAAGAAAAAATGTTGTACCACAAAATAGAATACAACCCCCCATTGCCATAACATATCACAAAATCACAACCTAATACATCATTGATTTCTTTGAATCTGTTACAATGTCTTCTGGTTTCTTCAAAATTTAAGTTACTTGTATTTATTTAAAAAAAAAAGAATTTCTTTTGCTACAAGAACTGTACTTCTATGCATTGTATCTTTATTATGCTAGTATTAATAAAAAAATTTCAGTAAGCACCTCGAATTTTTTTAAAAACTTAACCAGTGTTACCTATCACTGAAACATGAAAAAATATAAAATTTAAACTTTTCAAGGTTCAACTTTTCTTTTTTTTATGTAAAATAAGAGATGTTAGACTTAATGTTAAAAAAAAGTAAAGCAATGTTTAAAAGTCTAAAAATAGTTTTGAAATGTTGGAAGTTTAAAAATGAATTTCATTTATATTAAAATGTATATAAATGGTAAATATAGTTTAGTGATATCACTTGTATTGTATAAATATAGTTTGTAATGTCAGTGATGTATAAAGCTTAAAAAAAATTTAAGTTTAAATTAAATAATTGTTTCTTATTTGCAAATTCAGTTTCTTAGTGTAAATATCACAAACTGTAAACAGTTCTTCGTTAGAATTAAACTAGAAAGTGAATGTCATCTAACAACTTGGAATTGTTTTGTAGCAACTTGGAATTGAATCTTCTGAATATATTTCTGATTATGAAAGAAAAATAAAGTCAAGAACTGGTCTAACAACAATCAATGTCAAATTAACAACTCAATGTGCAAAACAAAAAATCAAAGTTGGACAGTCAATTCAATTGGCTAACATAATATTAACGTTTGATTAATTTTAATCGGACAATTCAAAAAGTCAATTAACCTTTAGGTACCGAAGTACGCCTTTTGGCGTTCTCTCTAGTTCCGAAGTACGCCTTTCGGCGTTTTAAAATATACCTTGATATTTTACTAAAAAACACAAAAACTACTAA